TTCATGATACCATCTACCCCCATGGCCCGAAATTCGTGTCTATCAAGTCTATCCCAGCTATAAAGCTTTACAGAGATTAGATATTACACGCAGTAATCGATAAGCATGGGCTTACATTGGATATTGTCAGCATTTTTTGCCTATGTGGAAGAAATCATTTAATACATTCAGTCGCACAGTAAACGTCAGATTAGTCATTAAGGACCTAAGAAATGCTACGGCGACGCCAAGGACGACGCCAGGTAAAAAATGGATTAACAATTTATTTTACCTTTGAATTTCGTAACTAATGGTCTAGATTTGTTCAGCCCGCACTAAATATGTAACGCCAGCGATCAACTTCAAAAGAAAATACGAAAATTTCTAAAACACAGGTCACATTCCACAGGTCAAGAGTAGAAATCCTTACTGTACTGATGAATATCTATGCCAAAAGTTTCCCCTCAATCTAAAACAACGTTTTCAGAGTGCTAGGGCTAATTAGGGCTAGGAGACTGAATCTTGGTGCTGTTTATTCATCTGTAGCACAGTGACCTGTACTCTGACCTGTAGTCGTGGCTCACGGTCTGCAAATTAAGGACCTTACGCAAAACACGACGGCAACGGCAACAAGAACGTCACCAAATGAAAGGTTTAATGAGCAGAACAATGGCTGTACACGTGCGTTATAATTCTTGGTACATTTCTTTGCTGTGCTCTGCAAAACAACAACGTGAAATGACCAAATTCTGCGTTGTCATGCCAGGAGAACGTGAACACCAACAGCTGAGTTTTCGTATTTCTTTTTAGATCTGAACGCATTCGTAGCATATTCAGCAGGGGCAAGTTTTAGTACTGACAGACACACGTACACTGGATAGTTCCAAATAAATTCGAAATTCCAAAGTAAAAAAGAACTGAACACATCTTTTACTAGGCGTCGTCCTCGCCGTCGCCGTCGTATATGCGTAAGGTCCCTAGTAATCAGAGCATAGTCATTTCACGTTGCTGCTTTGCAGAGGACGGCTAAGAAATATACAATGCACGTGCACAGCCATTGTTTTGCTCATTAAATCTTTTGTTTGGTGACGTTCTCGTTGCCGTTGTCGTCGTGGTTTGCTGAAGCTCACTTTTATTCAACTATATTCTTTTGCCATAGTTCATGATGTAAGATTTATTTTGCAGGAATTCAAACAATCTAGCAATCTTAAAACAGATTTAAAAGATTAAAATGATTCACGGTTATTGCCTCTTGAGAATGGTGCTTAGCTTACTTCAATACTTGCCCCAGAATGACATTTTAAGAAGATTCGCGTAACTGGCCAACGGAAATACCTTAAACGGGGGTTTACTGAAGATCTGAGAGGCCCGGCATTAAATAGCGGAAAATTCACTTCATAACCCATTGGCTTATCCAGCTTCGCACGGGGGCTTACAGCCGACCGGAGAGGGATAATTATATCCGGAGAAGGTAATGACCGGAACGAATATCCGTCACCAGACTAACTGGAAGTTTTTATCAGTGCGGGAGCTGAGTACGTTAATTAAGTAGTGTTTTCCTGTAGTAATCTGGAATAAGCGTGGGGTACACCACAGTCGTACATCCGCCTAATAGCCTGTGGAGGATAATGTAATGTACAGGACAAAATATTTTGCTAGTCAACTGCAGGAATGTTATCACGAGTACAAAGGTGAATTTTCCAGTGTGGAGCAGCGGATTCAAACATCACAGTCACCGTGATTAAAAGATATCGCTCATTAGTAAAATCGACCTGGGTTCTAATCGGAGAGAGCACAAGAAAGACTGCAAAACAACGCACACACTAAATTGTATTGATATTAAGGCAGAGCTATATAATGAGGGCCACTAGTTTGTCAGTGCTAACTGTAAAGTGTTTTTACCCTCGTTAAATAAAGTTCTCCCTCTTCTTCTACTGTCCCGACTCGTTATAGGAAGACTTACTTATTATTTGAATTCAGTGTTGATTGTTGATAAACTGATGTTTTTTGTTTGTTTTCTGTTTGTTTGTTTGTTCTTTTGTTTGTTCTTTTTTGTTTGTTTGTTGTGTTTTGTTTTGTTTTTGTTTTGTTTTGTTTTCTCACCCAAAGCGATTCGAACACTTTGTTTACCCGGTATGACAAGAAAACTTTTTGGATACCAAAGAAAGCTGTACTGTTGAAGCTCGCCATTTCAGAAGAGATTAAAAACTGAAGCTCGAGATAACAGCCTTACTACAGCGCGATAAAAGTAAAAAGAAAACAATGATTGAAGCTAGTGAATGAACAAGTAGCGTGACAATGGATATGACTTGTGCTTTACACCAGGCAGACGTACCCTGCCAGCAGAGTCTCCTTCGATCTTCCTGCTTCAATTTTTCTTCGGGCGTGTTTTTACGAGACCAAATGGTCTGCTTTGACCTGTTTTGAGAATTGCTGGCATCAGTGGTACCTTTCATCTAGTGTGTAGAGGAAGATCAAAGAAGGCTCTGCTCGCGGGGTAGGTAGACGTGAAATGAAGTTTTGTTTTTTTTTTTTCTTTTTGTTACAACAAGTTTTTATGGTTTACAGGCTGATAAACCACTTGGGATGTTGGAAGAACACTCGAAGAATTCGTAAATCACTCGCCTGCGGCTCGTGATTTACGAATTCTTCGAGTGTTCTTCCAACATCCCAAGTGGTTTATCATGCCTCCAAACTTGTGGTCTAATGTTTGCTATTGTTAGAGCGCGCGGATTCATTTGATTATCATTTAAAGCGATTTACCTGAGGCTGTTCATAAAACAAGGAGTCCATACTTATGTTCGCTACACTATAGCATGACGTATTTACCACTATAACAAAGCAGCCGCTGGCTGAAATATTCACAGAAAACAATATGGTGGACCAAGTGGATGACTTTTTCCAACAAAGATGTCTTTCAAAAGAATTGGCGATGATCCTACAGCTCTAAGAGTGCAAAAGGTTTGTTCACTCTTACATCCTATTGTACTGAGAGGTTTTGCTAAGGGTGGGGATAGAATTGGACATAAAAATTATCGAGAGGTAACCGTAAACAGGCCAACATGATCGTTACTTGAGTGATATTTATGGTAACTGGAGCATTGTTGAGACTAAGCGGAGTTAACAGACCTGTTTAGTTGGTTAGTGGCAACGGTTTGATTAATGGGAATGGTAATACGATATAATTTTATAAGCTTACCTAAATATTCTGCATTCTAAGCTACCCCTCTTGTATCTGGTTTTGCTGTTCGTGAAACTTATTAAGACGCTCTGATAGACTCCTTAACCTCGAAATTTGTTATTGATGCGATTAACTAATTGTACCATTTGTTGTATAGTACAGTTTAGAGAATAACCAAGCTCGTGATTGTAATTTTTCTGGCCTGTTTGCTCACTCATGCTAATCAGCTTAAACTATTAACCTCGTTGTTTGAATTTGATCATGATGACGTGAAGTCTTTCAACTGCCAAAACTGGTTAAAAGGCTGAAATTTTAAGCTTTACTGACAAGTAGCAAAAGTGATTCAACTTTTGCCAAGAGATAAGATTTATTCCTCCACAGTCAGCCTCACCACATGTACAGTGTATATGTACATGTAGTGAGTGTACATTTATATTTTTTTCTTTTAATTTAGTGCATGCTTCTTTATAGAAACAGAGAGTAACTGAGCTTTTGTTAGAAGATATTCCTGAAGATGAAGCCACACTTTTGAAGAATGGAAGGTAGAGATTCAGTTAATTAAAGATGATTTCCAGTCAGTACTGCACAGTCTCAGCACCTTAATGTTTAAAAGTCTCACTCGATGGAATGTGAATCGATGTTATTCATTACAAACCACATACCTTATTTTTGAGGCCTTTCAAATTCCTTTTCCAGCTGCTTGATTTTTACAAAATAAAAAACCTAAACAAACTCTTGAGAGTGTGCAGTATGGACTGGAAATCATCTCTAATACAGATTTCTTACAGAAAGAAATAATGGAATGTACTAATTATTCCAAATTCAAAAGACTGAGACATTTCCAAACATGGAGAGGAGAGTACTGAAAATACAATATGCATTGGAGTATTTTTGATAAAACTTAAGGTATTTAGAGAGCAATAAAACACTACTGAGCAATTTGACATATCTTCTTAACTTGAACTAAAACTAAGGAGAAAATGGAGAAATTAAAATATGATGTAAATCTATGCTAGTATCCAGATTCTGTTTTGGTTACAATTGCCTTTGTGTAAACTCAAGATGAATTTTTGATGAGTTTGAAAGTGTACATGTACAGACTTGGAAGAAATATCAGAAACTGAGCTGTTTGTCAGTGGCACAGTGTGACTTCACAGGATTGATTTGAAGCCAGACCTCTCTATGCAAATCCAATGCAGCAGTTACAGGTACCAAACATTGCGACTGTACATACTAAACAAAGTAAATAAACAATGTTTAGGGAGCCTTGATTTAATACTATTGTGTTAATATTTATTGTAGGCACTGTTAAAAAACAAATTTATTTTAGTGTTGCAAATTGATAGAATGGTGGAGGGGGACTAGCCAGTTGACTTAGATACACTACTGTACAAATGCACTAAACTAGTCCAGATTGTTTCAAGATGGAAGATATGTTGAACCAGGGACCTCCTGATTTGAGCACCTTACAGTATTCAGCCATTTGACCTCCAATAATAATAATAATAATTTATCCCTACAGTGTTCCTTTATGACTAAGTGGCCTTTCTTTTACTCACTATAGGTTTGCCTGTCTTGTATGTAAACATTGTCCTGTTTTTGACACTGTGGCAGTATTAAGTATTCACCGACAAGGAAAGAAACACTTATCAAGTAAGTTGATAAAAATTCAAAGTTGATGGAGGGGTGACTATGATTTGCCAATATCTTCATCATCATCAGTCCTCATCGTGCCATCGGACGCGTAAGGCCTTCTAATCTACCAATATCTTGAGCTGACATTAATTTTGACTTTGTTCTAACCCACAGAACTGTTTGCTGGTCACATATTTGAGCTGATTTAGGTTGTCATTGTTGCTTAGCCCGGGAACTGGCTCCCTAAGATAAGGGGCATAGTGTGAAGAAATTAGATAGAGCAACATGTCAAGATTGCGGTCTGGAAAAAGATCTTGGATTGTGTGGCTTTCTAATCTCATTTTTGCCCTGTGCCCAACTAGGGAGCCTCTTCATAGGCTATTGTTATTGATCCAGATTTTAAAAAAGAAAAACTTCATGCACATCAGATGCAAGTCATGTACGTCAACCAACCTTTGTATTAAAAACATTTACATGGTGTAGTGTAGGCTCAGTCTCCAGCCATGAGTGTATTGCATGTACACTGGAACACACACAGCTGGAGACTGAGCCTATGTACAGTCATGATATATTAAAATTAGCAATACCAGATGCCAAGGTGAGACTAGAGAAGTTAAGGGAAGATGCTGAATTGCGACAAAAAAGAGAACACATGAAGTACATGGAGACCCTTACAGCTGATCCCAGTGAAGAAGCAGCACCACTACTGAAGATCACACAACAGAAAAAAGAGCTTGCCCTTCAAGGCTCAACGGAGTTGATTTTTAAACAGGATCCAGAGGAAGAAAGAAAACCAAACAATGTGCCTTTCTTTCAGTCTAGGAAACCTGTTGACCTAAATATAAAGGATACCACAACAACTAGCTTAGAAAGAACAGAATCAAAGAAAACCTCATCACGTTCAGTGAGGGGCACACCAACAGCTGAGACTCAACTCCTCACAAAGCCTCTGAAGAATGATCAACCTGTGAAATCTTCAAGTGCAAAATCTAGTTTAAGTAGTCAGAAAAAGGCAGAGTTAAGTCCTAGTGAACAGGCTAGGAGAGCGCATTTTTCTCGCCTGCGACAAGCTGGATGGATCATGGGTTTGGATGGAAAGTGGCATAAGGACGAGGATGCCGAGTTTGATTCCGATGAAGATGAACCACCTCCACCACCATAAGCTGAGATGAACAACATTGTACATTGACCAAGAGTAATTACTGTGAACTATAAGGTCATCAAATATAATTATCTTCTAACAGTAAGAAGACAACTGCAAGAGATTAGAGGAAGGGGGAAGGCAGAAATTATCGCCCTGTCTGACCTCTCTACCAGGGCTGTTATGAAGGGTGGTAACCCATAAGACCTGTTACACTGCATATGCTTTAAAGACCCTTGATACAATTCACCCATAAAGCAACGAGTTTGTTGAGGGTGTGAAGATCAAGGCTACAGGTGAATCAAAACTTGAAGACAGCCCTCTCTACCATGTGAATGAATCTTGATTTTATTTCAGTCTTTTATTTTGAGTAGTAACAATGTAAGTTGTTACTTACAGATCTGTATCAAGCATTAGATGTACAAATACACAGTCAGATGTATTCCTAGAGGAACCATGAAAAAGGAATTCTTATGAATGAGTTGTTTAGTATAGGTCACAATTAAAATATCACACATACATGTTCACTGTAAACTCCATTTAACGGGTTCATTGAATTTTAAAGAGTGTTGTACCCTTGATAATTTATGTGAACCTTACTTAACAACTGATAAATGTACTATGAATGTGGTACAGAAGTAAAGCTCTGTTATGTAAAATCTCAAGTGCTTCTAATAAACTTGATTCTGTACATGTATGTATTGTGATACACCTAATTCATACACCTCTTGGCAGGAGGTCTTGCATCTACATTTACCAATGTTAAGATAAGTGACAAGTACCTTAATTTACAGGTAAATAAGATTTTAAAACTGTAGAGGTTATCATTATTATATAATATACAGTTTTTCTTTTATTCAGATTTTGATCATGGTTTCCAAGTAATAACTTGAACAGCAATCTGTGCAGCCTTCCTCACAGCTGGGCTGTCATGATCACGGATAAGTTTTGACACCTGCGGCAGAAGACAACAGGGAATTATTCAAAATGGTGCACATGTTCAGTAAACTTGTCTCTCACATTTGCAAGCATTGATGTTATATGGCCTTTTACAGAGGTTGCAGGTTTAAAAGTAGCTACATGTAGACTACAGGAAGTTATACAATGAAGAATGCAGAAATTATACATACCTCATTTACTGAAGCTAGTAACGTTGTTCTGCCTAATGGCGCTTCTGCAAGCGTTGTAATTGCCTAAACAATTAAAAGTACTGGCAAGCATGAGTGAAAAATGCTGCACAGAATCAAACTTGATTGTTACTTACCAACTGAAAATAAAGCTAAATGTTAAAACTGCTTCTGATGCACCTAACAACTGCCCAAGATTATTAAGGAGTTTGCCATGTGCACACAGAATCTCTCAGTCTGTCTCAATCATTTCCCATACATGTAGATGTTGGCTTGAATTTTGAGCACCTTCAGGAGTAATTTCTGTCACTGGAACAAAATGTAGCTGGCTGGCCATTCTTATGCATTGAGAAGAGGTACAAGTATTATATTTGGACATTAGCATGTACCTTCATGGAAAGTAACATCCCTGATAAGGTGACTGCAAAAACTGATTTATAAGAGGTTGCTGAGATTTCATTCTTAACATCCAATTGATTTTAGACCTCCAAAAACAAACATTGAGAAGTTTGGTTCCCTTCATAGTTACCATGGAAACTAAACATTGATAAGTTTACCACGGAACAAAATATCTAAGTACTGACAGCTATTGTCTGTTATTTGTAGACAACTGAATGAAGTTGGATGATAACTTACTTTTAGTGCGTTTAATCTAACTTCACTCTCTGGATCATCCAGCAACTTCACAAGGTTTGGAATTGCATTTGCCTCAATTGCAGAATTCTTCCCTTTAGTTGTTATTGTGATCCTAGGAAAGACAATGCAAAAATATGTCTTTCTTCAATGTACACATTGGATACAAACTTAACAAGTTTTGGCTATTTCCTCACTCTGATATAATAAGCAAGCCATTAAGCCATAAAAAATGCTGCAGTAACAAATAACATAATTGTTTCTCCTTAGTTTAAGTGATAAGGTACCCATACCTGGTAGTCCAATCATCAAATTGTACATTTATTTACTGATAATTTGTTCACAAACCTGCAGAAATATCATAATTTATTAATTAAACTCCCTCTAATTGTTTAAGACAAGATAAGTCAGAATTAAAACATACGTCATAATGGCTCCCGCAGCCTGTGCCCTGACATCAGTATTATCATCAGCAAGAAGGGAAACCAGTTCAGGAATTGCACCTACGTCAACTGCTTTATCCTTACCATCCAATGGAAAACTACAAAAAAAATGCAAAACTGTAACTAGACATGTTTCTGTCATGGGGTGTCCTGGAGTTTATTTTATGTTCATGAAGCCTTCACCTTAGTAATAAATGATTGTTGCGGCCTGGAGAATGGCAGCATGTAAGACTGCTTGAAATGCTAAACTACATTTTATACATTAATAATTTAACTTAATTTATATGCCTAATTTTCTATAAAATACTCAAAGACATACTTTTTCAATCTCTGTTAAAATTGATTCAATTTCAAGTTAAAAGTGGACTGCTTCCAATCTGTTTTAATTTCTTTCACAAATGAAGAAAAGTGACAGGGTGAGAGTTTTGATTACGACAAGAAGAGATTGGAACCAGACAAGGGTGAGGCCTGCAACTCCATTTCACACTTAATGCGTTTGTATTCACAGGAATAAACTTGTCTGATGCTAAGAGAAAGGACTGCAAGCAGGCTAAAATTTACATTTGCTGCTAATAAGCAAATTAGTTATAAAAATTAACAAACAAGAGCATTTAGCACATCATGCATGTACAGTACATGTAATGGAAAAGCCTGAATTTACACTGTACACTCCTTTTGTTGTTCAAACACTGCTCAGTAACTTACTATAACCATTTACCTCAAATCCATGACATCCCTTGCAGCTTTTCCTCTGATGGTTGCTGTTTTGTGTGCAAGTAATTTCGTGAAGCTTTCCATAGCTCCACTTTCTAATGCTGACTGGGTTTCTATCGTCATACAGTAATGAAGGGTGTCTAAGATGAGTTCCTAGGATGTAAAGCAAGACAGTGCCATCGTTAAAACACACTTGTTTAGGACTTACAGTGTAAATTGTTTAGGAAATTTTACTAAAATTATTAATCTACAAATGTCTCAGAGAGTTTATTTGACATACCATATTAAGGTGGCTCAAAACAGTTTTCTTTTTTTTTTTTAGACTTGTAGAACTAGGTGCGATTTTTCAGGCTTGGAAATGTACTGTTCTGAATGGCTGTGCTATTTTTTTTAAGGTAACTCTCCACCATACCTTTCATCATATTTAAGTTATAAATCGAGGTTGAACTGTCCTGTTGCATAGCAACAAACTTGACTGCAATAACGCACACAGTTTACTAAACTTGGCGGATACAAAGATTTAAGAAGTAGGCCTTGTGCCACCATGTTTGTTTTGATTTTTGTAAACTTTAAATCTTGCGTGCTATCTCCCGACCCCTCGGTTGATCACATGATGCCTTGCGCTGAAGTGTACACTAGAACCCAGGCATCTCAC